CAGTTTAACAGTGTTCAGATGCTATGGTGATGTTTGGCAGTAGAATTACCCTGGATGCATTCTATTTAGAGATTAGATTAGGCTAAAATAGACAGATGGGAGACAGGGGCAAAAAAAAAAAAGACCAATAAAATGCAACTTAAGTTCTAGCTCAGGCCTTTAAGTAATTAGCCTGGAAAAGAAATTGCAGTAGAACAGATTGAAAGATTTAAGAGAAGCCTGGTGACCTCTGAAATAGTTAATCTTTGCAGTTAGATTAGACCTCATGATTATTCAATGGTTCTTGGAATCCTCTTTCCCTGTTTTCATGGGTTGCTGGTTTAGGTGCTCTAGACTCCTTCAACCCACAGTGACACAACATTCCTTAAATGACAAAAAATCATAGGCAGTCACACTGCACACAGGATGTAATTCCTTATAAATCTTTCACTGAGAAGGCAAATGTAATGAAAGTGTACATGCAATGATGCTTTTACTTGAAACACGTTGGGTCATGTGCTTTCTTCCACAACACACAGGGAAAGCAAAACATTCAGGAAAGCAAAATGTGCCAGAGGAAGAGGAGAGTAAAAGCAGTCATTTACCCCAAACACTCCTTCCTGATAAAGCACCACAGCCTTCTGGGGGTGGATAGGGGAGAAAAGGAAAACCTTGGGGTCTCTAAAACATCATTCTCTTAAGACTGAGGGCAGATTTCTAACTGCAACCCAGCAGTAATCCTCAGTCACAGACTGTCACAAGGGACTAGAACATGTTCCCTGAGGGGAAAAAAGGTCCCAGGAAAGACAGAAGAGCCTCCCTCTTCCTTGCCAATGTCCTACATCTGCACACTATGCATGTTTCATGTTGTGAAGAAACACTTAGCCCTTCTGTCTGTAACAGGAAACATTTTAGGTTAAAATTTGCAGAATTTCTTTGTTCCAGAAAATGTGGCATGAGGTTTTGAACCTTTTGATGATGATATGGAATTGTTTTTCCCACTAATCTGAACCAACTTTGACCAAGAGGTTTCTCAAGAGCAAACACAGTTCTGTTGATGTCTTGCCATCATCTCTTCTAAACTTCACAATTTTACTCTAGTCAAGTCATCATGGCTAGGCTTTGCAAACGAAGATTTGGGATTACGCTAGATAGCTCAGCAAAAAGCTCAGGAAGAAATCTTGCTTGTGGGAAACACTGTGCAGTGTGGTCCCTTGAGGTTTAGAGTCAGTGTTACACCCCAGAGGTAGTGCTGTACAGTATTGTACACTGCACTTTTCTTGCCAGTGAAGCTGCCTGTGTGATGAGATACTGAGTACCTGACCACTTTTTGAGTGGTATGGATCCCCAAGGACTTTTTGCAATAATTAGATTGCTGGCTCTAAAGCCCGTGCTTGTCCAGCAACAGGAAAGTGTGAAAGAGAAAAGCCAAACCCGCTAGAGGAACATTCATCAGTATTGATGCAACATTTGCAAGATATTTAAACAACATGTCAGGAAGGGCAGCCAAGAATCCTACACGAATTAGGCTGTCATTCCAACTCAGGTAGTTATTTTCTATTTACCCAGTTTCCAATGTTCCCTAGAAATCCTACTGTAACCTGTTAGGTGGTTATTCAAGGTAGAATTTCTAGAAAGTAAGAGAGAAGAATGGTTACAAGTGATTCTTCCACAGAACCTACTGTGTTAGTTGTCATAAAGGCAGACACAAATCTGAAGCCTCTTTGCTGCAGAGACTGTAATCTAGAAAGAAATAAAAAATGTTTAGAGAGGAGGAAACAGTGTATACATTCATTAAATATATTCACAATTAAAATGTTAAATGAAACAACAATTATTTCCAACTGCTTTCAACTTTGTTCTTGATAATTATGCATGATTATAAGCATCTATGTGCATTTAAGGACAATGGTATACTGCAAAGTGACAGTACAATTATATAATTTAATTTAATAATTTAATTACAGAGGGTCTCAAGGCTCAGAGTGACATTACACTAAAACCTAGACGAACATTGATATGAGTCTCAGCCTGAAGAGCTTTAAACAGAGATCTGGAGGAGAGCAAATCTACCTTTATTTCTCTGTTTCCTCCTTTTAGATTGTTAAATTACAGCCGCACATGAGATTTATGAACAGTTTAAAAATGCAGTAGAAACAATCTGAAGAGACAGACAAAGCCTGGTTTCTTAATTGATGTAATCTAATAAAAATGAGGCAGAATTATAGTCACTATTCTTAGGAATGCTTTGGGGCAATCTTTTCAGCAGAAGGAGAGGTTTATAAATACAGGCTCTTCTACAAACTGCACTGTCCGTAGGTAAACAGGACACAGAGACATCCTGGGTGAGTGTTTGTTCAAGGATTGCCTGAACCCACCAGATGATAACTTCCAGCAGCAGTAACCTGCCTTACTGGTCGAAGGGGAGCTGTCTTAGTTACACTTAGTCCTTTATGAGTGCAACAGCTGTTGTCTGGACCAACTCTGAGCAAGGAACAACAATTTTCAAAGCTAAACCCTCAGATCTTCACAGCTTGAAGGCAGAACTAAGGCTTTACAGTTAACAGTTGCAATGACTATATGTGCTGATGAATCAATGTGAATTGAGACAGAGAAGTTGACTACTGACTCTACTAAAAACATAACTACCATTTTTATGACTATGTCAACAAAGAGGTTTTTCTGAGTGGAATTATTTTTGTAGAAGAAAAAAGCTCCTACGCAATAAAAACATGCAATTTTCCTCATTCACTGTCTTGTATTTTTGCATCAGATAATTCTTAGGGATAACTATAAGTGTAGATTAATTCAGCCAGGCAGATATCGTAGATGAGAGAGTTTCAGCAATCATTCCATAAAGAACAGTGTTTTTATCAAGACAGTTTCCAAAAATAGTTTCCCGATGACATCCATAGTGTTAGGATCAGTAGCCCTGGTCGAAAGTTCCCATTTTCTTCCAGTTCCTGCAGAGCTTTCTGAATTGCTTGTGTTTCCAACACATCCTGGTGGCTTCATTCCATTAAACAAGTTCTGCACTTTTTAATCCAGCTTTCACAGAGTAATATGAAGACACCTCATCCAGTCGTCATCCAACTTCCAGCATGGCAGTTTTATTAAGTTTCTACCTCACTATAACAAAAAAAAGGGCTGCTGCTGTAAAAACAAACAAAAAAAAGTAAAAAAAAAAATCTAGTGCTGTAAACCAAGATACAACATAGGAAATTAAAGAAAAATTTTGTTAATATTTTCAAAGGCATAATGTTATTTACTTTTTTGGTAAAAGAAAATAAGTTGTACTGGTTTTGAGAGTTTGTTCTCTCAGATCTCCACATCAATAACTGGTCAAGGCAACTCTGGAATATCTCTGCTTTGCCTCTTGGTCAAGTGAAAGATAGATATAGAAGATGAATGCCCAACTGTCAGTCCAACATTGCATTTTGGTACTGTAAAAGCTTCTCTGACTGTTTTACTTTTACAAAACTGGGTCTTCAGTTGTAGTTCCCAAACAAAGATCGATTCCTGCATCTCACTGACTTAAACTAAGGCTTACAGCAAAGACTTCATCCACTGTGCCTTTTAATCTAGGAAATGTACTATCTCACATTCAACATTTTAATGCTTCTTTATTTGGGAAACACAAAAAGAGGATTTAGCAGACCTCAGATCTGCATTCTGAAATTCAGAATGACTTCTAAAAGGGAATGATTTAAGAAAAATAACAAAATGACATTATTTGGTGTGCTGGTAACATGTTATTCTTGCTCCCCCATGGCACGTTGGAAGACAAGAAGGAAGAAACTTGAAGGACTTCCACAAGAGACTGAATTTGCTCGTATTCAGCTGTTCAGATGCTATTGACTGGTGCTTAGTGGCCAACTGTGACAATCTCTTTAGCTTCATCAAAACATACTTTTGTTCCCAATGACATTGCAAGCAACAACCCAATAGTGATAAAAAATTATCATAGCTTCTGTGTCATTGCATGTCAAGAACATTCTGAATTGCGGTTATTGTGCTGGGATGATAAATCTTATGACTATGAAAAGAAAAAGCAGTATTGATTTTGAAGCATTATTCATTGAACGTCACTGATGTACTATGCAGACAGAAGTAATGTCACTCATTCTGAGGATTTCCAAATAAAGTTAGAGAAACAGTACAATGTAGACATATGAGACACAAGAAAAGACAAAACTGATGTAAACTCCAAATACTGGAAATGTGTCCCTTTTAGTAAATCCAAACCAACAGTTTAGATCTGTGGTTTACAGCTTGAGGGTCAAAACCTAAATCCCAACCAGCAAACTGTCTCTTGAGCTATGACATGGAGCTGGAAGATAGAGCTAGGATTTTACTATATGTGATAGGACAAGGGGTAATGGTTTTAAACTAAAACAGGACAGTTTCAGACTAGATATAAGGAAGATAGTTTTTACAGTAACAGTGGTGAGGCACTGGCACAGGTTGCCCAGAGTGCTGATAGATGCTCATCCCTGCAAACACTGAAGTTCAGGTTGGACAGGGCTCTGAGCCACCTAATCTAGTTGAAGATGTCCCTGCTTATTGCAAGGAGGTTGGACAGGACAACCTTTAAAAGCCCCTTCCAACCCCAACCATTCTATGATTCTATGATTTGAGTGCCCCGTGACTTTTAATATGTTATTTCCCTCAATTTAAGGTGTTGGCCATGTTGCACTGCTCGTGTAGTTTGCTATCTATGTGAGGTCCAGCTCAGAAGACGGCCAGCGCATCCAGTGAGCTACTGCACCCCACCAACCCCTCAGACCCCAATGACCCCAACCAGATGCTCCCCTCCACCGTGACCTCAGCTCCAGCACGGTGGGACAAAGGCGACTGTCTCTCCAGGGGCCAGCGCCTCGCCGAGGGCGCTCACCATCCTGCGGGATGGTTCGTAAGGGGTTCCGAAGCATCTCTCCGGTGTCCACCGGGGAAATGCGGGTCCGTTTTGTCTCAAGAAACTGGGGCGGCCGGCGGGAAGCTCCTCCCAGGGGTGTAGCACAGGAAGAGGTGGCGGTCGGGGGAGCCGCGGAGCTCCCTGCGAGCCGGCGGAGTTACCGCTGCCCGTGTTACTATGCGTGTGTCTTGTGTTACAGCCATGCTGCACATCGACGGCCAGAGCGAGGGGCGCGGGGAGGAAAAGGCTGTTTACACAGACTGCAAACCGCCCGGGGAATAGTGCGGGAGAGGAAGTGAGCCGGGCCGCTGTCTGACTGCCCCGGCTTCCTGCTCGCTCCCTCACACGGGCAGGCGCTCACACACACACACACACACACACACGCACCGGCCCAAGGGACACAAAAAAGAGAGAGAGAAAAAAGGGAAAAAAATCAGGATCTCATTACTAGAGCAACAGAGCGTCTGCAGAAGACTGTCAGCATGGAGAACCGGGGGATTTTACCCAGCTCCCTCTAAACTACCAGGAGAGAGCGGAAAAGTCCCTCAGCCGCTGGGTAGGTACAAGTGCTGCTGCGCCCGCCCCGGCTCCCGCAAAGTTTCAGGGGGCTGCGGGGAGAGGAAGGGGGGGGGCCGGCGGCTGCTGCGGGGGCCGGCGCCCCGCTCGCTGGTGGGAGCGCGGCGGGGACACCGCGGGGCACACCGCGGGCTGGAGGTGAGCAGCGCCGGGAGCAGCGCGGGGAGGGGGCTCGGAGCCCCGCTCAGAGCCGGGGAGCCCAGGGGTCCTGCCCCGGGGTCGGGCCCGGCCACAGCTGCGGTAACGGGGCAGGGGGCGGCGGTCGGGGGGGCGGGACGCCGGAGGAGGCTCCCGCCGCCTCGGGGGCCCCCTGCCCCAGTGGAAGGTTGCCCCGGGGGCCCTGCCGCCCCCCGGGAGCTGCGGGTGAAGGTGAGAGGACGGAGTGTATGGGGGGCGAGGGGAGGGCCGCAGGAGAAGGGGCCGGGGTGTGAGGAGGGGCAGGCCGGGAGGGGGGCACCGCGGGTCTGGGGGAGCTCCGGCACTCCGCGCCCCTCGGCGGTGCCGGGTCATGCCGTGCCCGGCCGCCGGTGCCGCGGGACTGCTTGTCCCGGCAGCTCCCCGGTAACGGCGGGGGCCGCCAGGGTGCCTGTCACGGCGGCGGGGGCGCCGCGGGGTCCCCGGCGGCGCTGCGAGGCCGACGGGGCCGGGGAGGGCGTGGGGGGAGGGAAGGGAAGGCCCCTGCAGAAACTGCAGAAGGGGCTTTAAAAAGGAAAAAAAAAAAAGTGTCGGGAGAGTTTCTGGCTTGTCTGGAAACAGCAAGACTAATTGCCATGCGCTTCCGGTTTGAAACTGGCAGCAGACAACATCTTGAAAATGAGTCACTGCAGCTCACAAAGAAACTCTGTGGTTTTCTCCCTCTCAGGTTTATGTATTTGCTCCTTTTTACAGTTTCCTTTGTAGTCTTCTGCCTTCTCCCCGGCCCTTCCCCCCCGGCTTTCCTTAGCCACCTCCTGCCCCTAGACCCCCTTGGCCGACGTGGATAGTTTCCACGACCAACTGAAAAGAAAAAAAAACCCCACAAAAAATGTTTGTAAGGGAAGGAAAAAAAAAAAGAGACAGAGAGAAAGGGAGAGAAAGTGGAGAGTTGTTGTTGGATTTGGCTTTACTGAAGGTTAGAGGGACTCTGATGCTGCAGGGGGAAAAAGTTCCCTGAATTTTCCACTGGCTGCAGGAAGAGAGCCCATTTAGTCATGGCTAAGTAATGTCTGCACACACACCAACTAATCTCATTAGGAGTTTCCGTTCCCTAACACAGGAGGGTTTTGTGAAGCCCTGTCAGCCTTTCTAACGTTGCAGTTGAAAGGGAGACAAGTTACATCTTTATTTACTTACGGTTGTAGTGCTAAGACAATTTTATACAATGCAGCATCTTTTCGGTCATGAGGACTCCAACTTCAGAAGTCGATGGTTACATTTAATTTCAAGCAGAAAGTCGTGGTTCATCTCGTATTTTGCTCATATAGACTTTTCAATTATTTTGGATTAATGTAATTTATCCATAAATATTTCCATGGGGTGAAGCACATAAATGGAGTATGCAGAAGGTTGTGTTATGAGAAACATGTTCTATGCATCTGTGACAGTTGTATGTAACTGCAAGATTAAAAGACTTTTGAGCCAAGATACTGAGGTGATGGGCATATTTGAAAAGCGTATTCACTCACGTAGCCTTTCTGTATTGGTGCTTTTACATGTCTAATTTTCAAGTGATTTTGTACGTACCACTTTTAATTTAGTGGTTTGTGTAATTATTTCATGATGATTTATTTTCATAGCTGTCATGAAAGATGTCCATGTTCAGAATTAGAAAGATTTTTGCCATGCCCCACCAAACTTTTCGCAGAAAAAAAAAAAAAGCCTGGAGCAAACAAAGAAAATGGATTCTTGCTTGCAAGTGGGTTTTAGCTAAAGGAAATGTCAATAAATGTGAATAAAATGGCATGTAACAGGAAATAACACTTAGCTACTTAATTGAATTATCATGTGATAGCATTAAACTAGCAAATATTATGCAAAAAAATAGTACTTGCAGTATACCACGTGTTTACTTTTGAGGATCTTCAGTGTTTCCTGTACTTCCTATGTCCAAGCAGCACAGAAAAGTTCTTCATTAACATCACTTTACAGAGGACTTTTATTAGTGGATTAGTGACACAATCTCCAGACACAGATGCCTCTTGATTTTCTAGCCAGGCAGTGAAGAATTTTTAGAATAATGCACAAACCAGAAAATGCCTAATCTGTTTCAATCAAATGTAGTTATCATGAAGCAAGAGAATTTTTTCAGTTTTGTAGGTTTATTTTTTTTGTAAAATTCTGAATTTTAGAGAAAGAGGTGCGTTACTGGGCATAATGATCAAAAGTCTTTTGAACATGTTATGGAACAATTAGTGTGATGTACAACACTAAAACTCTTACTGAAGAGTGTTTCCTAGCTCTTATTATCTCTCTTTGAAATATGGATATTTAATTGTCCACTTACTGCATTAAATATTGCTGGAATTTCAGTGTGCCATCTACTGAATCAGTGTAGATGAAGCACACAGATACATACATACATATATATATGTAGTCTATCCACACAAATTTCATATATTGTGTTCACTCAATTTAAGTATAAAACATCTTAATGTCCTATAGAAAAACAAATGTAGTAATAGTGTAATGGTTGTGTGTTCTGTAAATTTGAAAGACTTAATGAGAAGTAATCTGTAGATGTGTTAAAAAAACAAGTTCCATTTGAAATAGAAAAAAAATCCAAATATCATATAATGCATGCTTGTTTTCACTCAAATAATAAAAAAGTATTAAAGGCGTTTTTACTGTAAGTATGATCTTATTCTTTACCTCTTTTAGTTTACGAAGTATAAAAGTGTATGAGAAGAATATATATTGTCTGTTAAGTGTTCAGATACTATCATCTTTGCTTACATCTTGATTTTTCAAATCACCTCTGTGAGTTGTCCTAAAAAGAAAAAATCTGCATGTTTATATCCTTTCTGATATCACTGACTCTACCTGGATGCAACATCTGAAATAAGCAACACGGTCTCAGGGAAGAAACTCAGCTACAGCTTTCCTTGTAACTGTTTATAATACTATGCACATGGACACTTTAATATATAGAAACAAAAACGTATTTTGTTTTATTCATTAGCAGTTCTCACTGCTTACCAATTCACAGTGGTTCTCTGCTCCTGTTACTTAATGTTACTTTATTAAACTTCAATCATGAAATCAAATGTTTCACTCCAAAGACTGAGGTATTCCCTCTTTGCTGTGCAGAAAGTCCAGTTATGTAAATTTTACCTACTCGTTGTAATGCCCTTCTTGGGTTGAAGGCATTCTTATGACAGAGGTATACTTAGAGGCAGGTGTTATTAATCAAGTGATCACAAATACTGATCAAAAACTGGTTCTGAAGGACTTAGCACAGAATGAAAGTCAATTTGCAGGTTCACCAAGGTGCCTGGAGCTTGTTGCTTGCCCTGAGGCTCATATGTTTAAATGTAGGAAGGTAGGTATACGTAAAATGGACAGAGGTCCATCAGCTGTATAGAAAATACAAATCTTAGCTTTGGAAATGCAATCGCATGACAATATGTTACTTCAGAAGAAAGAAATAGGTGCCAAAATAAACAGACATTTGGCTACTAAGGATAAAGGAGCACAGGATAAGAGTGGAAGCACCAACATGTGGTTATTTGTGATGCATGTGTTTATAAGAAAGTATTTTAGCTAATGTGTCTTGATGACACCATGTAAACTTTGTAAGCTCATGTAGTTACCATTATCTCTGTGAGTGGTTCTCTGTCATAGTGCTAAATAATCTAAGAGAGCGAAGAACTGATAAATTAGCTACTACTTCCCGTAAAGGTATGGCAGGTTGGACTCACTTGTGCAATTGAGGTGATTTATCAGTCCCTGGTTTTCTTCTGGTGGAGGTGGGTCCAATGCGCAGCATGTTGTTGCTAGAATCAATTTTGGAGCTGTGACACTGATTATAGGACAGTTAGCCTGGGCCAGTTTCAAAGAGTACTGTTGGTTTTGAGCTGCTGTCTATCTCTGGTAACCACACCCAATGGTTCATGCCACAGGCTGTCAGTGACGGGCCTGTGAAAGTCCCGGGATTGATTCACCATGGCTTTCTCCTCGATGTTTCCCACAATAGGGAATCTCATAGTCTCGAATCATTAGACAGATGTTTACTTTGCCTGTGGCTTGTTAAATGAATCAACGAGTATCTGGAGGCTGTTGAGAGCTCTTGAAAGACAGAATATGTCTGTTCTCATGTTGAAGTATTTTGTTGAATAATGAATGATTAAAGATTTAGTCACGATTTTGAGGGGAATGTCAAGGTGTAGGCACAGGAAGTCCAGCTCATCGCACCACAAAATACAAGGCTGCATGGATGGAAACAAAGCAAATGAAGCACAAAGTAGCTCTCATCTGTGCACTTCACAAGAAGAAATTCATCTTTGTCCTTAAAACTTCCTTTAAGTCATTGTGGTTTTATATGTCAGTAATTATATCAGTTCAGGTTCTTAAGGGTTTGCTGTTAAGAGTGGATTTTAATTCAAAAGCTCTTTGAAGGAGACATGCTGCTTTTATAAAAGCAAGAACTAAAGAAAACGCCTGCCATAAGCATTGATATGAAAATATTACATAGGCACTACCTGCCAGTTAATAACTGTATAGCCTTTCTGTGTTTCTAATATTGTATGAATACTGTGGCAGTTTTTTGCAGTACTAAAAAAGTACACTGGAGTTGTTGATCTATTTAATCAATGTAATTCATGGGCAGTGTCTCATATTGTGCTGAACAATTAAATATTTAAGTAATATTTTATATTGCGGTTAAGAACATCAGAGGCCAAATTTTGCCATGGCCTAGGCAGGTAATGAAATGATACATTTTTTATTCTTATGGAGTTACAGTTTCCAACACCATGATTTTGGGCTGCTTAAGTAGCATTGCTG